GTGTGTGTGTGTGTAGGGGAGAGATGGAAGCTATCGCTTTTGAAGTGGGCATATGGCTGTCGCATTTGCATTTAATGCCCTTCAGATTACTTGTTTTAACTCGTGCTAAACACCTCACTCGGTTGGGGCTAATTTGATGAGGTCATGGTACGACCCCGTGACCCGCTCTCTCCATGTTCTCTAAGTGAAACCAGCTGAGTCACAGAGTGGGAGAAAGGCAGAGGGGGAGTGGGAAACGGACTGAGATTTACAGAGTTGGGGATCCAAGCAAGTGTTTTCCCAAGTCAAACATCTAGTCGCAATTAAAGCTGTTTTCCCACCTGTTGGTTCGGCAGATTTGGTTTGATTTGGGACTAAAACTGCAACATTTGTTACATTAATTGAAAAACCTGTTCCCCTCCTCGCCTGTGGTGGCACTGCACCAAGAACTACTGAAGGAAAATCACAGAAGAAGACACTGAGCGCACCTTCCTTCTTCGTAAAATGTAAACAAAACTGTAGCAGTGTCACATTTTAGCGGTTGCAGAATTTCTCTTTTCTTTTTGGTAAAAGATCACGACCCATTTTTCCCACTAGCACTAGCTTAGCTTGTTTGTTTTGGTTGTATTTACCCAGAATGCCTTGCACTAAATTCTGCTTCCTGCTTTTGGAGCATTCAGGTCTGCTTTGCATTCACATATACCTTCAAACTATGCAACGTTCATTTCAAGAACTGAAGGAGGCAACATGGAAACGTCTGAAGAAGTAACCAAGAGCAACTTCCTTCTTTGCGAAATGTAAACAAAAATGGAGAAGGGTCAGGTTTTAGCAGGATTTCTCTTTTGTCTTTGGTTAAAAAACCACAAGTCATTTCTCCTGCTAGCGCTAGCTTAGCGCATTAGTTTTGGTTGTATTTGTCCACTTTCTGTTTCTGGAGCAGTCTCCGGTCAGCTTGGTGTTCACATATGGATTCAAACCGCACCAGAATTCACTTCAACCGAGCCGAGACCGCGGTTTGTATGCAGACCAGAGTTCACGTTTTTTTCCTAAGTAAGAGTTCAATTACGCATTCATTCCCCCCAAACGAACCAGACATATTTGTAACTAAACCAGAATTTGATTAAACTGGACTAAAGAGCTGATGGGGAAAAAAAAAGATTTAAAACTCAAAAGCATCTGACCTGATCGTTTTACACTGGAGATGCTGCCTGTTCATCACTGAGCAACACAGAAACTCGATGTTGTCTCAACCTTCCAGACCTCTCTGGTCGATGCACTTAAAATTCCAATAACAAGACATTTTTCTCATGTTATAAGTGAAATGACCTGAAACTTTTGACCTAAACAAGCTTCTATTTCTTGCTGAAAAGTTATTTGTAATTTAGTTTTGTCTCATTTTAGGTGTGCTAAGATATTTGTAGAAATTAGACCAAAACACTTTGTAAAATTTTATGTTTTTGTGTATTTTCATTTAAAAGAAAACAGCAATATTGATAACCGTGTAATATTTACACAAGATAACCACAATACAACATTCTTATACATTTAAAATCCCTTTTAACCAATAATATTAGCATATGAAAACCAGCCTCGTTTGGCGTGCTTAGCTGCTGCACATCCACTTTCCAAAGGCCGTCTGTGGGACGAGGAAAAGCCTCTTCTGGAATGTGAGAGGGGCTTGATCCGCAGCGGCAAACCGTCTCTTTTCTCCTCAAGTGCTGTCCGGACTCCAGAGAATAGCCCGTTTGGTGTGGGGGGCGACATTTTGCTAACCTCCAAGGCCACCGCCGCGAAGGCGCCTCAAGAGAGCCTCTTTCGTGTCAAAGGGGGAAAGCCATTCAGCTCCAGAACGGCCTCTGGCTTTTGATCAGTTCACAAGTTACAGTTTTACACAGACCCACGTTTTTTTTTCTCATGCAAATGGGAAATCTTCAAACAGCGTGCGGAAATACATCTCTCTCAGATGTACCTTAATAGGTAGTGCTTTTAACATGGGAACGTTCACAGCCAAGGACTTTCCTGAAAGCGTCCTCGGCGCAGTGAAAGGCGGCCTTGTCGCCCAGGTGTAGGCGCTTCGCTCCAAGAGATCCTCTCCGGCTCCGGCTTTGTGCGCTCGCAGGAGACTACATTGACTCCCAATTAAGAGATTAGGGGAGAGATTATCGGAACCATTTTCAAAACACATAACATTTACAGGCTTTCCCACAGCACTCTGGATCGCCCGTCTCATTTTGGCTCACTTAAAGTTTGTTGTTGTAGCTGGAGCAGCTGTTTCTGCGAGGAAGACTGCTACTCCGCGGCTACGTTCACACTGCAGGAAAATACGACACAAATCAGCTTTTTTCTGCCCGTATGCGACAAATATCTGACTTTTTCTCTGCAGACTGAAAGTCACAGTTCTGATATTTCCACCCTAAAAAAATCTAACTTTTGCTACTAAAGTAATTTGGATAAAAATCCAATTGTTTTCATCGTCATGTTGCTTTTAATCTGGTTTCAGTGTTGCAAACTTTTATTAACAATATGTTTTTATATATTTGTTAAAACTATCCTTCTGCCATCTGCAGCACTGCAAAAACACAAAATCTTACCAAGTATTTTTGTCTTGTTTCTGGCACAAATATCTTAGTTCACTTGAATTTAGACAAAACTAACTCAGAAGTAACTGAGTTATCAGTTAGCTTCTATCAGCAAAAAGATAGGAGCTTGTTTTAAGTAAATAATTCCTTAATGTTGATAAAGAAGTTCTGGTTTCACCTGGTTATATTATTGGGGAAATAGATTATCAGTAAATTTATCTGACAATAGAACTAGAAATTTTTCATTGATTTTAAGAATTTATTACTTAAAACAAAAACCTGTATCTGGCTGAAAACGTTTAGATTTGTCTTATTTCTCAAAACTAGAACAACATTTTTTGGTAGGATTTTGTTTTTTTTGCAAAAACAAAAACCAATCAGAGCCAGGAGGGTCTTACTGCTGTCAATCGAGCTCGAGTATGAGCTGCTCAGACCCTCGTAACAGCTTGTTCCCACAACAGAGCCGGTTGTGAATGCTAATGCTAGTTAGCATAGCCACCAATGGCTGTGGATAATAAGCGGTTTTCCTGTAACGGTAAGTTGTTTTTCCACCATCAGCACATTTATCTACAATAACTCTGAAGAATGTCCCTTTGGGATCAATAAGGTATTTTTTTACTTTGAATCACATACATGAGGGTGATTGACAGCGCTAAGACCCGCCTCCTGGCTCTGATTGGTTGTTTTTGACAGAAAGCAGTGCATGTCTTCATGGTAGCTGAGGAGAAAATGGATGTTTCTTCACAGATTTTCAGTTTTAAGAAATATGTAAAAAAAAAACAAAAAAAAACATATCTTTTAAAAGTTACTAATGATAGTTCCTGTATTTCCATTACAAATATGCACAAAAATGTGTTAATATTCCGCTAATGTACAAGAACACAATTTGGGAATGGCGTTGTTTCCACGAAATAAGAAACATGATTAAAATCACAAATAAAAAAGTTTCTTCATGCGATAAAAACGTGCCACTCCGTCATCTGGTCCCATTTATCGAACTTCAGCCAAACAATGAAATCAACAACAGTTTTCATTCCATTTTAAGACATTTTTGGATTAAATTGTTTTTAATAAAACGTTGTTTCCTCTTGTTCCTGCTGTCTGGAGTTGGGATGTGTAAATACAGTAGGTGAGGGTCTTTCCCCAAAACGCCGTGAAGGTGTTGGAGGTTTTACTCTCCATATTTGGCGTGTTTCTCTTGGTCTTGTTGAATCGCCCCATTATGCTGCTATTAAAGTTCATTCTGCTGGAATATGTGGAGGAAGAAAGGAGAGAGAGGAACCAAACTCTCGTCAAGGTCATGTTCCAGTGGAAAGAGCCAACAATGCCAGAGCTAATCCCTCCTCCTCTTCCTCCTCCTCCTCTTCCTCCTCCTCTGACCCCGTCCCGCGGCTCCTAGGACTCCGCGGCGGCAGAAGACGCTCCAACCCGGCCCGCCGCTCCTGGATTATCTCCCAATTACCACCAATTGTGCCGGACGGCATTAATGTAATGTTCTATACTTTTTAATACCGTTTTAATTTTTTTTTCCTAGATTAACCAGTGGCTCTCTTTCGCCTTTTTCCCTCATTTAAAATAAAAGAGGCCGGGGTTTAATTTGGCATTAAGGGGCGTAGAATATGCCAGCAGAGCGTCTGTTGGAGGCAGAAAAGGGAGAAAATCATTTTAGGGGAGATACTGTGAAGGACTTGTTTGAACCTCACTGTCCTGCTACATTAGCGGGGAAGTCAGCTTTGTGTTGGAATAACATGTTGCCTCAGTATTGTGCCCCCTACGGTGCGAGGGTTTGCTGGGTTTGGATTAAGAGACTCCATTACATTACCCTAATAACTGGATAAAGCCGCCTCATCCAGTGCAACTGATCCCCAAGTATTAGCGCTCACGGCTCGTTACTGCAGCTGATCTGCACTGCAAAAACACAAAACATAACCAACTACTTCTGAGCTGGTGCACTGAAATAAGGCAAAACTAAGTTTTCAGAAACGTATAGGAGCTTGTTTAAGTCAGTAATTCTGTAATGTTGATAAAGTAAACGAGTTTTTCCACTTATAACATTTTCTCTCTTTTTTAATCAATATTACAAAATAACTGACAAAACAAGCTTCTACAACTTGCTGAAAAGTTGCTTGTGAGTTAGTTTCATCTTATTTCAAGTTAACTAAGGCATTTGCATTATGAACTAGTAAAAATATTTGGTAAGATTTTGTGTTTTTGCAGTGTAAATTCAAATTGCAGCGACACTTTTTGCATATTTTCATCTTTAAAAAACTGTCATAATTACAACATCCTTAAAATCCCTTTTTACAAATTATATTTCAAAAATATCATTTTAAAAGTTATGTTTAAGTTACTTTTTAAAAACTTGGTAAGATTTTGTGTTTTTGCAGTGTGTGAAAAGAAGTCGCCTAATTTTAAGACTAAAATTAGTTCAGATTAAATAAAATTAATAAATTTAACTTTTTTAAATTTTCATCTTCAAATAGTTAAAATACAGTTAGAATTAAAGACAATTAATTTTCTACCTCAATGTTTAAAACATTTATTTCTTCTCATTTGTTTTATTTTTGCATTCTTATTTAAAAAAAAATCTTAACTGTGTCTTAAAACGTGAATTCTTGTAAAATTTATATATTTCCTTTAACTTTGGAGCCACAGTAGATAAAAAACAACCAATCAGACATTGTACAGGTTTTGTGTTTTTGCAGTGCAGCTGATTTCTTATTAAACTGAGCCGATAGGAACTGGAAGGCGGCGGCGGTTTTGCACGCCTCGGTGTATAAAACGTGTTATTTGTTCAGGAATTTCGGCTGAATTTCACTGACTTGGCAATAAAAGTCGCCCAGCCTTCCTTCAATTTAACGGGCTGAATTATAATATTTAGTCTGCTATGTGGGGATTTCCACAGCGATGGATTTTATTTTACATTACACATAATTGTCTCTATAAAAGCAGCTCCTCATTATAAAGCATCACAGCTTAATTATACATCTGTTACAGGTGTTGGGGCACGTCAGCAGTTAAAAAAAACGCTTTTATGTTGTTTTTTTGTTCAGGCGAGTTGAGCTGCTACCACACACTGCGAGGGAAAAATAAAGGAACGAAGGTGAAAAGTGTGCAAGCAAATCGACTGCAGGTAGAGATGAGGAAATTTTATTAAAAATTACAGATCAAAGTGAGTTTATGAAGAATGACCTTCATTACATTATGTTCAGAGAGAGAAAGCGAGCGGAGCCATGCGAACGTTTCAGAACAGATTACATGTAAAGCTTTGATGTTAACTGTCCGGCCCAATTAGGCCCGGGGAAACGCCGACGCTTTCATGTCGACCCACTCAAAGTTTAAACCTGAATTTATTCACAGCTCCCAACATTTCTGGTTATTAAAACACTAATCAGCACGTTTCCCTGCGCGGAACGGAGAGAAAGCGGGTTTTGGTCGGGAGCAGGAGCTGAAAACGAGCGACTCACGCCGGGTCCGCGGTTCTGCGGAGCCGCTCAGCCGGGGTCAGAGGTCAGCGCTCATTAGCAGTCCGGCTTCCCTTCGTAGTGCTAATGTGAGGTCAGGAATCCACAGCCGCAGCTGGCACGCATTCGGCGCGTCCAAAAACAATCCGCCCGCTGTTCCCGACCCGACCGGGCCGGGCCGACCTTGCCCTTGGGCCACGGCGTCGAACACCGACCCCAGCTGCTGTCAGGACCGGCAGGCCGGCCCGCCTCTTCCTGCCCCCTTCCTGCAGGTGTGCCGAGCTCCTCCGAGGCCCGAATGCCTTTTGGGTCCCTAATCCCGAACACTTAAGCCCCTTCCTGACGGGTTCAGCGCCGGGTCCCGCCGGATCAGCCAATCCAAACACGGCGAGCAGCGAGGGGTCGACCGCCTGCTGCCCTCTGCTTCCCTCCGAAACAAAACGCTCCCACAGATCAGCACCGATCCGATGACCGGCACCAGAACCGATATCTGAAAACGTCCAGACCGGGTGTCGATTCAGCGACGTCGTGTTTTATTACTAACTTTATATTACATTTAAAACAAATCGTTTGAAAGACAGTTTGATGATGATTTTCATTTTACATGTTTGACCAACCTGGTCAATCTGCAACGGAGCAAGAAAAAATAAAAAATAAGGACATTTTCATTAATTTTCTTTAAAAAAAAAAATTTAAATAAGGACATTTTTTAATTTCAAAAGTAAATAAATTCTAGAAAAACTTCTACTTTGAGATTAATTTCAGAAATCTTTTAGAAAAAAGTGTACAGTATAAAAAACAGCTAGAAAGTACTCAGAAATTATGAGATTAATCTAAATTTTTCTAGAAAAGTTTTGCAATTAATCGTGATTAATGTACTTCTTTGGTTTCTTTTATATTTTTTATAGACAATTGTATTTGTTTGTCTTTTCTGATTGACCTGTTTTGTTGCCTTTGGTTTTTAGAGCGCTGCATAAATAAATAAATTATTAATCAAATTTAACACATCAGGACTGCATAATTTAAAAAAAAATTAATGTTTTTCTGTGTACATTGTACAAAAAAAAAGTTAAACTCTACATCAAACTCTACATCTAAGGTAAACTTTGCTGCACCCAAATCTGCCAACTGGTTAAATATAGGAGAAAAATTTACCTAAATTCTGTTTTTATCTCTCAGAATTTGCCAAATCTTTTCACTCTAAAACCAGATGCTTTTAATGAGGAAAACCTGCAAAGCCTTTTTCCAAATAAAGAAACAAATGAATTTGTTTGATAAAAGTTTGTACACCTTGCGCTGTAAACGACGCGGCGGCGTCTCGTTTCCCATCCCCCTCCTGCTGTTTCAGTAAACACAGCGGCTCCGGCCTCCACCTGTTTCGAGGAGCTTGAGAAATGGACTTTTCCTGAAAAGTCTCTGACCTTTGACCTCTGCAGAGCGGGAAGGAGGGTCTGCCAGCAGGCAAATGCCCTCCTGTGTGGCCCACTGCCATTTAACCCCATAATTGTTACAAGGCAGCTCCCGGCCCGTCCGAAAAACTCGGTTTTCCGGAAATCGCTCTTAAACAATCAAATAAACGCACATGCGGGGAATTCGCCGCGCCCCGAGGCATCGTGGGTAGTGGAGCTTCAGAGGCAGTTTTTACAAATTCAAACCTCTGAATTCGCAAAGAGACATACCCATTAGATGTTTAGAGGACAAAATGCTTTCACACGCAACAGTTTTCTATGCAAAGTTTTTCCTTCCCCCAAACTTTCCCCATTTAATTTCTCAATATATTTTTTATTAATATTTATATATATGCTCCAAAAAGTTGGGCAATTTTCCTTCTAATGCTAAAAACATGTCAACTTATCTGTACTGGTTTGGTCTTTAATGATACATTTTAATGGACTTTTTGATTTAGTTAAAATCGGCAGAGATTAAAGATGCTTTGGAGCATAAATGGAAATATTATTTTAATCTTATTTATGATTTATTGTGTTTAAACTGATTAAACCAGGAATGTTGGTTACTGCTCACTGGCAACAATATCATAAATAAATGTAAAGATTTGAAATACAAAGATAAAGAAACCCAAACAATAATCACAGATTTGCAAAAAACATAAGACATTTGACATTTACACTTACAAACAACCAAATATGTATTTTTTTTAATAATATAAATTGTTCAAGTCAAAATCTGCAATTGTTACAAAGTGATTTGCACCTGCAAAAAATCACAGATAAGCTTGATGCAGTGTATCGGTATTTCTAAAATAAAAGTCTAAAATTGATAAAATAGTGGATAAAACAGAAATAGCAAATAAATCAATAATAAATGAGTGAAATATAAAAACCTATTCAGTTCAAACTTAAGTAAAAACTCAGCATTGGTCAATGTTTTCTCATTAAGTCATCAATACGTACTTTAGAGTCAAAACTCTCTCTAGATGAGAGCCATCAAAGCACTTTTAAAAGGGTCAATAAAACTGAAAATAATCTTACATCTTGTAAAAATGACACTTATGTATAAATAAACGTATCATCTGCATAAAGTCGAACAATCTGAAGATTATTTGTATAGAACCGAGCCGAGGATTGGACCCTGAGGAACGCCTGTCTTCACCTCTAACGCAGTAGTTACTTTATGACTCGCTTTAATTTTGAAAAATAAAGTCGATATTTCAAACTAATAAAGTATTACTTCTACTGAGAAATATCCAGAAAACTGAAAAACAGCAGAAAATGTTCCACTGGCAGATTATTTGACAATTGTTGCCTAGCAATGCCAGCCAAGCCCGTTGCCTAGCAACCAAGTTCTAGGCAACGGTTGCCTAGAACTTGATTTCCACTGGCAGATTATTTCACTTAAAACATTTTTCCCATGTTATAAGTCAAATAATTTGCCAGTGAAAGTAGTAACTTTTCATCAATGTTAAGGAAATATTCACTTAAAACAAACTCCTATATTTTGCTGAAAAGTAACTTAAAAGTTAGTTTTGTCTCATTTCAAGCATAATAAGATATTTACACTAAATTTACAAAAAATACTTGGTAAGATTCTGTGTTTTTGCAGTGTAGTTAGACTAAACTTTTCCAGGTTTTAGATCAGGTAAAATTCCCAAATCCCACAATAATAAACACAGAGTTTACAAATAAAATGTCTTAGTATTTGGTAGAATTACATGTAAAGCTGCTTCCAAAAGGTTGTGTGTTTTTAGATTTAATTATTCAAGTTTTTATCGAGTTCTTTATGATTTTCTATGTTTGTTAGCAGGAAATATTAGTTACACTGCAAAATAAATAAGTACATAAAATCTTACCAAGTATTTTTGGTGTAGTTTCAAGTGAAAACATCTTAGTACACTTTAAATAAGACAAAACTAACTTATAAATAACTTTTCAGTGAGATATAAAACCTTGTTTTAAGTCAATAATTCCAGAATATTGACAGCAGATTATTTCACTATTTTTCCAGGATATAAGTGAAATAATCTGCCAGTGGAAGTAAAACTTTTTCACCAACATTAAGGAAGCTCCAATATTTTTCTGAGAAGTTACTTGTGTTATTTCAAGTGTACTAAGATATTTGCATAAAAAACTAGACCAGAAATACTTGGTAAGATTTTGTTTTTGCAGTGCATGATCTGTTATTAGACCTGAAAATGAGGTTTTATTGAAATCAAATGGGTTGGATTCTGTGTTATGGGGTGAATTTGTGTTATATAAATAATCAGAATGTGAGATAATAAAGCAAATGAGTGAAATTAAAGTGAAATGATCTGCGCTGCTCGCTCAGATTGTTCCCATGTTGTTTTTCCTGGGCTCCCTGTCGGCTCCAGCCTGTGTTGTAGATACAGTACCCACTTTACCTTTATCACGCGCCGCTCTGGCCCATCAGCCTTCTGCGTGGTTGGCTGCACTTGGTTATTTTTTCCATCCCTGCACATTTGCTTTTCGCTCGGCGCTCACCTCCACACTCGGGCTTATAGAGTGTTTCTCCTTTTCCTCTGATAGCGGCGCGCTCGGTGATTGCTTCCCAGGATCAGAGCGGCGCGCAGGCGGCTCAGCATACCACACATGCTGCGGGATCAAAGGTCACTCTTGGAAGCCTGGGATTATGGGGAGAGGGGGAGGTAAAATTATATTTTTTATCAGTTTTTTGCTTTGTTTTTGATCCCACGCCACCTCTCACCACGGCAACCTTCACGCTCAGGTGTTAGCTTTCACTGAGTGTTGAGGTTTGTTGACGTTTTAGGAACAACAGATTGACTGCGGCCTTGAGCGGCGGCGCTCTAAAGAGACTCCAAGGTCAGTGGATGTGGGAACAGCCGCCGTCTCCCGGGTCCGACGGAAAAAGCCACCAAATCAAAGCCGGCTCATGAGTGATGCGTTCGCTGAGGTCACGGCTATTTATTACCGTCACATGAGCAGCGGCTGCAGAATACTGTTGACACCTGATGTGTGTCATCAGCAGGTGTGAATGAGTTTTCTCTAAGTGGAAACAGCGTTATAAAGCTGACTGAAACCCTGTGTTTACCTGCTGCATTACTCTGTGTGTTTTAGCATTTCTCACCCTGTACACTGCAAAAACACAAAATCTTACCAAGTATTTTGGTCCAGTTTCTAGTGCAAATATCTTGAAATAGCTCAAAATTAACCTTTAGGCAGGAAACAGGAGCTTGTTTTAGGTCAATAATTCCTTAATTTTGTTGAAACAGTTCTTGTTATATGTGAAATAATCTGTCAGTGTAACTAGGAATGTTTATCAATGCTAAGGAATGTCTTACTTGGTAAAATGTTGTATTTTTGCAGTGTACACAAGTACTTATGGTCTAGTTTCTTTTGTAAATATCTTAGTACACTTGAAATAAGACAAAATTAACTTACAATTAAGTTTTCAGCAAGATATAGAAGCTTGATTTAAGTCAATAGCTCCTTAATATTGATAAAATGAGAGAAAACTTTTTTACAAGTGAAATAATTTGCCTGTGAAACTAATACATTTTATTAATATTCAAGAATTATTCACTTAAATGAAGCTCCTATATCTTGCTTAAAAGTTATTTCACTGTTAGTGTTGTGTTATTTCAAGTGTACGAAGATATTTATGAGAAACTAGATAAAAATACTTGGTGTACACTGCAAAAACACAACTTCTTACTGGGTAAGATATAGGAGCTTGTTTTAAGTCAATAATTACTTAATATTGATGAAAACGTTCTTGTTCCATTGGCCGATTATTTAATTTATAAAACATTTTCCCCTCTGTTCATCAAGATTAAGCTCTTGAATCTTGCTAAAAAGTTTCTTATAAGTTAGTTTTATGTTATTTCAGATGAACTAAGATTCATTTACATGTTGGAGGATAAGAATGAAGCTGAAGAATCTGATCTCACTGCAAAAAACACCTGGTCTAGTTTCTAGTGTAAATATCTAAGCACACTTGAAGTAAAACAAAATTAATCTAAAGGAAACTTTACAGTAAGAAATAAGAGCTTATTTTAAGTCAGTAATTCCTTAATATTGATTAAATTAGTTCTTGTTTCATGGCACATTATTTCACTTAGTATTTACTTAAACATGCTCTTATTTAATTTAGTTTATTTTGAACAATTAAAATATCGATCAAAGGTATTAAAATAATAATAACAACAACAACAACAACAACAATAATAATAATAATAATAATAATAATAATAATAATAATAATAATAATAATAATTCAGGAAGAGTCAAAATCCTAAAGTGCTTATGTAAAGCCTGTAATTAAAATATTTAATCCAAGAATACATCCATCAGTTCGTCATAAAGTCATGAAATACAATATAAAAAAACATAAAAACACATCTACAAACTATTACATACAACATATGTAATATATCTTGTTACATTGTTGTAACAAGAAATATTGTTACAACAATGTAACAATCTCTTATCTTGCTAAAAAGTTACTTCTCAGTTAGTTTTGTCTTATTTACAGTTGTTAAGATATTCACACTAGAAGCTAAACTAAAAATACTTGGTAAGATTTTCTGTTTTTACAGTGCAAAGCCCATTTGTTTCAATAAATATCACATTGTGAGGACCAGCTGCTCCTTATGGGGCCCCAAAGATAAGAAGAAGAAGAAGTAGTCCTGGTGAAGGTAAAAAAAAACACTCACTGTGTGTGTGTGTGTGTGTGTGTGTGTGTGTGTGTGTGTGTGTGTGTGTGTGTGTGTGTGTGTGTGTGTGTGTGTGAAGATGCTCCTAACTACAGAGAGCTTCGGCTCGCAGTGTGAAATCGGAGCAGAAAGGAGTTTATTGTATTAATGTGAAAAATGTTCACATTTAAAACAAATAAAGCGAAAACACTCAGAGTGTGTCGTTCACTCAGGGTTTTAATTTCAAGGCTGTTGTTATAAACATCTGCTCTGCTCTCAACATCAAACAAACACACACACACACACACACACTGTCAGCTGTGTTAATTATTACATCACTAAAAGTATTTGCCTGTGTGCTTTATTATGTCTGCAGGGAATATTTGGTTTTATATCTGAAAAGGTTTTAATTCAAATTCATTTAAAGGTTTCTAAACATCCAGAGATTAAATATATTTAGTATTTTATACAAA